TGTTTATCTGAGCTATGATTATCTCAAGGTCAATAGTAAAAGAAAATAAAAGAGTACAAAAGTTCTAGATTTTATGAGTGAAATATTTTTTATTATCCTGTAAAACATTTTAGCTTTACAGAATAAAACATCATCATGTACACTAATAGTAATATTTATGGATGTGGAATGTTAAAGATAATTTTTGTTTCATTGCTACTAAATTTACTCAGGTGAATGATTTTGAATTTTTATTTATCAGAAATATGGGGTACACTTAGATCAAAGTTGTCGTTTTGCTTCTTTCTCTTATTAAACTTGGTCAAGTGATAAGCATTAGGTATGATGTAGCTGTGATTAAAGGCTAAAATAACATCAAACATCATTATAAAATTAATTTTTACTTACTGCCTAATGTGTTCAAGTTTTGGGCTTTTTTGTATCATAAAGGTCAATTCATTCAGAACTCATGCCAAATGTTAATTTGTTTTCTGTTTATATAGAATGTGTGAGATGTGTAATTTATTTAACATTAAATTTTATTTTAATGTTTCACATAAAAATGTATGTAACAGCTGTTTGTTTGCTATCCAAAAATTTTAATTTGTATTCAGTTTTGACGTAAATTTGTACGTTAAAACAGCAAAAGAAAAGTCATTAAGAAATGTATCATAGGCAAAGCAGGGAAGAACAACATAATAAACTAAGAAAAAAAAGTATGTGCATGAAATTTGATATGCCATAACTTCAAAAGATTTTTACATGCAGTTAGTGTAGCTATTGCGATCACTGATCGCTGAAGAAATGTATGATGTAGTAAGAATTAGGTGCTCTGTTTAAATCACTGCATATTGTAATCACATATTATCTATCCATATCAATTACATAATCAAGTTAATTTCTCAGCAGGAAATTATGATGTAAGACATAAATTAAACACTGGAGGAGTTCAAAAACCTTACCAAATGCTATTAGTGTACATTTATATTTTCAATATAAGGTTGTTCGAAAGGTATTAGTATTCTTTCATTTTAGTAGTATAAGAACAAGATTACGAAAAAGGTTGGGTATGATTTTTCTTAAATATCGTAAAAATAGTTATACAAAACTGTTATTATAAAACAATAATTTTACTCTAATAATGTTAGAACAGGTTATACAAAAACTGTTATTATAAAACAAGTAGTTTTACTCTAATAATGTTAGAACAAGTTATACAAAAACTGTTATTATAAAACAATAGTTTTACTCTAATAATGTTAGAACAAGTTATA